CTTCTCTGTTTTGGAGTTGTCTAGGCAATATGTGGCCCTCAGGGGGAAGAGCTTCGAGTGGCCCCGGCAGCGAGCCTGTGGCTAGGTGCAGCGATCACATCGCGGGATAGGGCTTCCTGCACGTGGGGAGCGGCGGCGAGGGGGAGGGGGCGGCGGCCGGGGCGAGCCTGGGAGGGCGCGGGGCGGGTCTGTGGGAAGTTTGAGGCGGGAAGAGAGACTCCGGGACGGTGATGGAGGCCTCGGGAGGCCCGGGGGCGGGGGCGGGGTGGGTGCGTTCCGGTGGGAGGCTGGTAGTAGCCTGGAAGCTGCGAGGGAGAGAGGGAGGAGGCGGGTTTCTAACCTCCTGTCGAGGACTGCTTCGAAAACTTCGCAGAAGCAAAACAACTGAAACGACGGGGCGTGAAGAGGGTGGCGGAGGCTTAATGACTTAGGGGAGAGTCATTGTTAGGATGCTGGACCGGCTCGGACAGGGCTGCGGGCGCCCGGGGCTTCGGGACTTGCGAGAAGGGTCTCAGAAAGAGGACTTGGAGAAGGAAGGAGAGGGGGGAAGGAAGTTGCAGTGTACAAAGAAAGCCATTTTGAGGGGCGAAAGCAAAGAACGGAAAGAGGAGCGAACTTTCTCTACCGAGAGAGACTTGTCGGGGGAGAGGCAGTTTGCTAGAGTATCTAGATTCCTAAGTAAGACTGCTGTAACAGTAGAGCTCTCTGGCTGGCTGGAATGAGTGTTCAACCTCAGGAATACATGTTTCAGGGTATGGTTACTTTTTGGATAACCAAGTTCTTGCGGAGTGTGCTGGACTGTAGTCTCTGGAGAATTAAAATCCCGATCTGTATAGATACGGAGTTTGCTATGATTGAATTGGCAACGGCCTGTGCCCACCCCCCCTTTTTTTGGTGGAGTGGAAATCACAGGAGTGAATTCTCTTCGCGGAGGTCGGAGGACAGCTCTGCTCTGTTGGCTGTCTCGGTACTTTCTGGCTGGGGAAGGATCTGACGTCTCCTTCCCCCGCTTCTTCCTCTCCCTCCCCTGCCAGAGATCTCCTTTGTTTATTCGTGGATGGCTTGTAGGTGAATCTCCAGTGTTGTGCTGGTGCCTTGAAAAGTGGAAATGCAGTGTCTTGATCCATGATTTTTGCCCTAAACCCCTTATTACAAAATAAATAGTACATATTTTATTACCTTTTTTAAAAAAATGGAATCTCTACAAGTCCAACCTGGATAAATATTATTTAAATTTTTTCAGTCCACTATCGGTTTACTTGTGAAAGAACATACTTGTTTTGACCTATACATGTTTGTTAAGGTTATATGATACCCTTTAATATTCTTTTATTCTGCTTTCATGTGAGCATTTGCAAAACTTTCCCTCACTTGAGTATATGAAGTTCTAGGCGTGTTAGTGCTAGATAGGTGTTAGTGCTCAATTAAAGGTAACCTTTCCCTCCTTAATTTGTTTGACCAAGTATTTAATAAGACTCCATTTTCTATTCTTTGGGTATATGTATATGTTATATACTACCACTTTACTTTAGTTATCTATTATATATATGTGTGTATATATATATTATATATATACACATATATATATATAGCTACACATTGCAATCAGTCTAAAAGTTTTATCACTCCACAAATATTTTAATTTCTTCTGTCAAAAGTAAGCAGTGGTGTGCTAAATTCTAGTTAATAGTCAGGAATGTAGTTGATAGAAGCCTAGGTATTTTGAATAAAAGATCTCTACCTCTTCCTTACCACCTCTAATCTAAGTGGTTTAGATTTGTGTAAGTTCTAAATAGACTTTTTAATTTTTTTCTTCTAGTGAAATTTTCTTACCTTCTTAATATGTTTTTTAGGTGAATCAAAAAGGGTCCCAGGAAACCTGTGTCTGTTGAAGAAAATTCATCTGTCAATTTTTGATATTCAAGGAAGAGTATTTATATTCATCTTTTAAACTGGGAAGATTTATATTCCATTTTAAAACTTGTTGATATTTACAATGAATGGACATAGTGATGAAGAAAGTGTTAGAAACAGTAGTGGAGAATCAAGGTAAGCACTTACTATCAAGTATTTATGAAGAGAATTTAAAATTTTTGTGATTATTTTTAGTTTCCTAATAGGTGGCAGAGTTTTCAGATTCAGATTCTTCTTCTTAGCTATCCAAAGACTAAAAAGTGTCTAATATATGAAGCTTGTTTGGTAAAAAATTTTAATTATTTTTTTTTCCATTGAGGTATACAAAGAAGAGTTCATAGAAAGTTTGTCTTAAATCTTTGGAGGTTTCTATTGTTTGGGTTAATAATTAAAGCAAGAGTAAGTAAAAAGACATTTAACTTGATTTGACTGTTAATGCACTCTCCAAATAAAAGCAGTAAGATTGTCTTTTTTTTTCTGGCATTTTGTCTTCTCTACTTGTGCTGTCTAATATATAGTATCCACTAGCCATGTGTGGCTCTTTAAGTTAATTAAACTTACAAAATAGTCAAAATTCAGTTAGTCACACTAAACACATTTCCAATACTAGTCACTTGTGGCTAGTGGCTACCATGATGGACAGCACAGACAGAAAACATTTCTATCACTGCAAAAAGTTCTGGACAATACTGATCTGACATTAGTTGAAGTATTGCTGCAGTGCTACTCCCCCCCCCCCCCCCATTATCTTTCACATTTGAGTTGTAATTAAACTAGTATATGAATGAGTTAAAGGTTCTTACTTGAGCCATGTATTTGCAAAGAAGATACCGTTTATGGGAATAAGCCATATTAAGCTATTTTAATTTGTAAGAAACCTTTTCTAATACAGAGTCTTTAAATTCATCTGTAGACCTCAAAGTTGAGTTATCTGCACAACAATAATACAATCCATGTAGCTATTATATGTGGAAATCGGGAATATGGACGTTGGAATCAGATTGCCTGATATCTTATGCCAGTTCTACGTATTATCTTTGTGAGTTAGGGCAAATTATTTAACTTCTGAAGAATTGGTTTTTGCACTTATAAAATGGGAATTATGGTATTAAAGTTAGGATTGAAATGCTACATGAAAAGGGCTTAACATAGTTCCTGATATACTGTGCGCTCCATATTTGCTTATTATAATTTGCATCATGTTTTATGTAACACATAGGATACTACATAACTGAAACATTAATTATAGTGATGGACAAGAAACAGGAACGTTTTGGCAGTCAGAATTTCAGTAAAAATGTTGGATAGACAATGAAACAGTAGTTTATTCGTTTGACTTGAGCCTTGAGATTTTCTGGTCTTGTTGGCTATTTAGTTTATCAGCTTTCATAGGCAGACTGGATAAGAAGAGCATCATAGTGAAAAAGGAGCAGTTATGGAAAGCAGCATTATTTAGTTGAACAAGTACTGGTCTAAGAGTTACTAAAATCAGAGTTGACACTATCTTTGCACTAATTAGTTCTCCGAATGATTTCTTAACTGTGAAACAAGAATTTAAGTAAATGATTTTGAAGTTTCATCTTACTACTTAATGTATAAAGTATAATGTTTTAGACAATTTGACTAGAATCATCAGTGTTGAGAGGCTAAATTACAAGATGAATCTCAGCTGTGATTCAATCTCTACAGGTATACTGACTGTAGTAAGTGAATAGGAGAATCACACTGTCCACTTTCTCTTATTCATTAGTGAGCAATGAGATGGTTAAGAGGTAGAAATATCTAGAAACATAGGAACCAAATTACCCACAAAATAGGAAATAAGACTCTTGGGAGCAAGAGGTTATGCTTTGTTATATTCTGACCTGTTTCAGTAATCTTTTATGTATTTTGCTGCCATATCTGAAGCAAAGGGTGACTTCAGTACAGTAGTAAGTGAAATTGGATAGTATAGGGGAAAGAAATTAAACCCCGAGAAATCCATTTATTTAAAGTAATCTTTTATAATGCATACTCATTTTAAATAATTGCATATTCTCTAATTATTCTGAGTCATTATTTCACCCATACAGGCTTTAATCCTCAGAAGTGTTATCTATTCTTACAACTGCCTTGGTGTTTATCAGAAGGAGAACCTGCTTCTATTTTACTTTCATTTTCTTCCTTATTGCTGCTATGCTATCCTTTTCCTTTGCTTCACTGTCATTGTTACTAACTCTTAGGTTCTCTCCCACCCCCCATCCCAAGCTTTCATAACAGGCCAGTCCAGAGAAGGGAGATTGTGTCTAGTTAAAAAAGTGAGTTGAATTTCATAGATATAGGGATTTTCTTGCAAAAACCCAGAAGTTACCCTAACTATGAATATTAATACAGAGTAATGAGAGGAGAAATGTACTCTGCTTGAAAAATTTATATACATTGTAAATTTGCTTTTTATTGACTAGAGTTTTTAAATGCATTTTTGCTTCAGATTATTTTTATCCTTTGTGGAAGTTCCTGAAATGAAATAGAATTAAGAAAGGTCATTTGACATTTTGGCTTGGTATATAATAAGCTTTCTACTAAAAATTTTTTTTTAATTCTTTCCGTGTAGAAAGCTCTTTATAACTATTTACTGAAAGGAAAAATACACATAGGAAAATGTCTCTGGCTATGCTATAACTGTCAATTTTGAAACTTATTTACTAAGAAATGTGGGTCAGGATGCACCTGTGCATCAGTTTCAACTCAGCACAAAGTCTACTATCTCATTGAAGTTAAGTTTTCTAAAAATACTATTGGAAGATTTCAAAGCATCAGTTTCTAGCTGTGTGAATTTATGTTATATGCAACCAAGTTTTCTAATCCTAGTAAGACATTTTTTATTTTTCAGTTATCTTGAATGATGATTTACTTCAGAAATAGATTTATGGGTAAAGGCCAGAATTATATAGTCACATTTACTAAATTTTGAATGATTGCTATACATGCTTAATACTCAGAAGAACTCTGCTTGCCTGTAGATTAATTTTTTTTGTTTTTTGCTGATTAAATTTTTAGTAATCTAAGTTTGTCCATGTAAATTTAAGAATTTATTTGAATCACTATAATTACTTTATATGTTATGCTCTTGAAAGTTCTTATAGAGTGACAGAACTTGTTGGTGATGTGTGATAATGTTCTTAATCATTTAGAATTAATCTGTAGCTGGCAATTGAGCTTTGTTGGCCTGATTCTTAGAATTCTTTAATTTTTTCATTACAACTTTTTATAGTATTAACAATGCTTGATTTAATATATTTATGTATGTATTAAATACATGTGTGTAAATTTTATATTTACTTAGAGGAACTCTGTTGCACTTATATTTCCTTGGCTTATAGAAAATATTTTAATTATTGCTTTATGCTTCAAGAATTTTTAGATCTCAACTTTTAAAGTGTTTTGGATAGGCAATGAGTAGGAAATAGGATGAATGGAAATGTTCTAACTGAAAATCTCTTTTACAGAAATTCAGTCTTTAAAATACTTTTTAATGGTTATGAGAAGCCCTATAGTCTAAATGACCTGTTAAATTTAAGGAACATCAAGTCAAGGTTAAATTGAACACAGGTCACATTTTTCACCATCTAACTGTTTCAAACTTGCATATATTACATTTACTCTGTGATATACAGTTTTATGTTGTGCTATACCGTTTTTGGCAACATTGCATTTATGTATACACACACGAAGATTTCTTGCCCGGCTGGTATGGTTCAGTGGTTGAGCTATGAACCAGGAGGTCAGGGTTCGATTCCTGGTAGGGCACATGCTTGGCTTGAGGGCTTGATCCCCAGTAGGAGGTGTGCAGGAGGTGGCCGATCAATGGTTCTCTCTCATCATTGATGCTTCTCTCTCTCTCTCCCTCTCCCTCTCCCTTCCTCTCTCTGAAATTAATAAAAATGTTTTTTTTAAAAAAGAAAGATTTCTTGCCATCAGAATCTATTTCTTTCACTAAATGAATTTGAACAATTTCTAAAGGCCACACCAATTAAAATGGTGTTTCCTGAGCTTACTTTGCAATTATCTCAGAGTTAAAAAAAAAAAAGTTCATTCTTAAATTTCAAAAATTTGTACTAAAGAGCATTTTAAGGAAGACATGAAATTCCAAAGCCAGAATGGCTAGAAATCAGTGAGTTAAGGAAACTGTTTTTTAAAATTTCCTGTGATGTCATTAATTGCAGGAAAGTATGACTTTTTCATCTCATATTTTGTTAATTTCTCAGTTCAGTATGTGCTTTCTGCATCTTTTCTTATTAAGTTTTTCTTTCCTCAAATTTACATGTACTGAATTTAAGGTCATTCAAGATAATTTCTTAGGCTTTAAAAATTCAAACTGTTAAGTAGGAGCTTAAGTTATAGGTTACTCTCTCCAAGTAGGATTGATTACATCAAAATTTTCACAGAATTTCCTAGGATTGTGGTCAGTCTAGGTTACTGTATTCAGATTTATTGGTGGCTCATAAGGATAAGAGAATTGTATATGACTTGACTCTCAAAGACATTACATAGGCATGAGATAATGTGGGGCAAACAGTGTCTTTAATATTGCTAAAGTTGCTTATTTAAGATCTCGATGACTGGTGGGTTACATGGGTACTTCTTTGTAGTGAAGAGAACGAATAAATGGAGAAACCTTTTTGTTTTACATTTTTGATGGAAAATTCAAAAACATACAGAAATAGAAAAGTTGCAGTTCCAGTTGTGGTCACCTAGGAGCTTGTTCAGAATATACAACCTTGGGCCCCACCTCAGACTTAATGGATCAGAATCTTCATTTTAAATAGATTCCCAAGTGATTTGTTTTCATATTAAATCTATATATATAAAAGCCTAAGTGACCATCCGACCGGTAGCTATGACGCACAATGACCACCAGACGGCAGATGCTCAACACAGAAGCTGCCGAGCTGCGGTGACTTGGCAGCTGCGGTTCTTGGGTGATGCACCTGGAACCAGAAAGGAGGGAGCCTGATTCTGGGGTGCATCACCCAAGAACCACCTTCTTGCAATCTGGGATGCCTTGGGGGATGTCGGAGAGCCGGTTTCAGCCCGATCCCCGCAGGCCAGGCTGAGGGACCCCAGTATGCATATATATGAAGCTGTTTGCCTGG